GACCTCTCTGGAGCTCCAGAAAGGTCCTACAAAGTGAGGCTGCAGCGAGCACCTTACAGAGCTGCTGTGGAACCCGATGAAAAACAGTGTGTGTGAGTATCGCACAGTAATATGCTGATGGGTCCCCAATTTCTGTCCCCATCCGACCTCTCGCGAGCACCTCTGATCTCCAGACCTGTCCGTCGGCTGCTTGACAAGGCCCCTTGAATGTAACACCTGACACCTCTAAGGTTGAGCTCCTCAGGAGCTGCTGGAAACCAGCTCCTCCTCCCTCCCTCGTGGCAGCAGACGCCATCTCCATCCTTAGTGTCATCCCTGACTCCCTTCTCTCCACAATCCAGTCTGCTAACAAGTCCTGTCACTCTGTTTTCAAAATATACACAGAATTTGACCATTTCTCACATCCGCCGCCCTGTCCTGGTCTAAAGCCAATGTCCTCTCAGCCCAGACTTTGTAGCGCGTCCTAACTGTTCCCCTGCTTCTGCAGCCCAGTCCACACAACCCTCGGGGTGACACCGCTAAGATGTAAGTCAGGTCACTCCAGTCCCTTGAGCCAAATCTGCCCAAGGCTCCGTCTCGCTCAGGGTGAAGGTTGAAACCCCTGTGGTGACCCGCAGACGTGCTGTGACTCGGCCGCCATTTTTCTCTTGTCCCCCTCCTTCTCCCCTTCATTCACCTGCTTTAGCCTCCCTCCTGCTTGTCCTCGGAAGTGCCAGGAACGCTCCTGCTGCGGGACCTCGTGCTTGTGTTTTCTCTGCCTGGAGTCTTCCGCCCCACCTGCCTCACGGCTAACTATAATGTCCCCGAGTCCTTCTCGAGACCTTGTTTTAAGTGACGGCACCTGCCTCTGACTCCTGTTCTCCTTCTCCGCTCACTCTTGCCTTTGTAGTTACCACGGACGTGCTCTGTGTGTTACTCACCAGCTTCCTTCCCTACCAGAGTGTGCGTACATGGACATTTTTGTCTGGTGCATACATAATACATGTGTTTATACATCTTCCTACCAGAATGCCCCCGCTCCCCAGGGGCAGGGATTTTGTCTGGTTTGTTCACTTCCTATCCCCAGTACCAGGACAGGACCGACGCACGTCGTAGGGACACCGTGCATTTGTTAATACCACGTTTTACAGAAGAGAAGCCTGGGGCTCAGTATGATTAAACCATCTGCTCAAGGAAACACGGACAGGAAGTGGTGGAGTTGGGTGGTTTACTGCTCTGTGACACTTTACAATGCACGAAACCCATTCAGTGAAGGCACAGAGCGATGTTGGGGGGCCCCTCAGCAGCCTCCTCCTACCACAGCTGAAGAAAGGAAATCCCCCCAGTGAGGAAGGACAAGGAGCTGGAGGCCTCACGGACTTGCTGGTGGACCCTTGGCTGGGGGTTCAGAGTTGAGTGTCGTTGAGCAAGGAAGCCAGGGAGCCGTCCCCACACTTGTTCTGAAGCAAGAAGGCCAGCGACTGTAATGAAGCTTCTGGAAGCCAAGAGGCACGGGAGGAAGGCCCCTCCGCGACACGGGACAGCGTTGGGTCTGTCTGATGGCTGCGGGAATTTTTGATGCAAAGATCAGCCTCAAGACCCAGGCTACTGGCTGCCCCACCCAGACCCTCTGTGGCCCCTAAAGTCCCTTTCTCCTGTATTCATTCCACTGAACGCACAACAAGGAATCCGAGGGATTCCTTCTAGGAAGAACATCACAGGACGGCCCTCTCATTAAACCCACCAGCGCTTCCCTGCAAGGATTGTTAAGGAGGGTCTGTTTTTGAGGAAGAGGATATTCCGCTGGACGGAGTTTGTGCTGGGGTGAAGCCCAGGCCTCCTTCTCCCACTTGGGAAGCTCCGCGGCTGGCACTCTCCCTCCACACCAGAGCCCAGGCTGAAGGTGGCTTCCCTAAGAAGTCCAGGTAAGTTCAAGTTCAGAGAGAAGAGGTGGGGGCGGGGCGTCCGTGGAAGAGAGTCCTGTGAGCTGAAGAGGGCTGGGGCAGAGCTGAGGGGCAGAGCGAGGGCCTGGCCTCCTCCTGGGGGAACCATGGGCCCCTCTGTCTGTTCCCAGTCTGCGGGAAGGAGGAATCGAGAAGGCCTGTGAGCTGCTTAGCCTGGTGCCCAGCAGAGCTCAACCTCAGTGTTTTCTTTCTCCTCCTCCTTTTCAGGAGCTAAATGAGCAGCCAAGACAATGGCTCAGATCAGGACTAGGAGAGGCCAATCTTCTTCCTTTTTTAAAAGATTTTATTGTTGATTGATTGATTCAGAGAGAGCCCATGAGTGGGGGAGGGGGCAGACTCCCTGCCCAGCAAGGAGCCTGAAGAGAGGGCTCCATCCCAGGACCCCGAGATCATGACCTGATCTGAAGGCAGATGCTTAGCCAACGGAGCCCCCCAGGCGCCCCGGGACAGGCTCTTTTCAAAGGTCCTGGACTGTAGCCCAGAGAGTGGAGGAAGGAAAGGACCTTTTTCAGTCACAAAATGCCTTCTGTTGACACACAGACCGGCCGGCTTTCCTCCTCGGAGGTGCAGACGAGCAGCAGAGATCCGCAGCTCTGGCCACCTCTTCCGTTTTCCCTTCAGAACCCTCCTCCGTGCACACACTCACCACTGAGCCCCAGGGCCTTGGCAGGGCCTGCGTGCCTCTCCCGGGTCCCCCCTCAGTGGGTGCTCCTCTCTGGGAGCATCCTTGCCCACGTGGAACCGCCCTGTCCCAGGGTACACCCCTCCCAGGGTGTGCCCCGAGGCCAAAGGCTGGGTGATGCAGGGAGACCTTTCAGTTTGGAACAACTCTAAAGGGTCATCCAGCCCCAGAGGTCCCTGTTGGATCTGCTGGAACTCTTTGTAGGTGAGCTTCTGCCTCCGCTCAGCCTGCCTTCCTCTCCCTCCCTCACAAGTAGCTCTCAAGAGCAGTCTCGGGGCACTAGGGGGCTCAGTGGGTTAAGCCTCTGCCTTTGGCCCAGGTTGTGATCTCAGGGTCCTGGGATCAGGTCCACATCAGGCTCCCTGCTCAGCGGGGAGCCTGCTTCTCCTCTGCCTGCTCTCTGCCCCATGCTTACTCACTCTCAAATAAATAAATAAAATCTTTTTTTTTTTCTTATAAAAGTCGTCTCCTGGAGTCTTTTGCATGTGACTCTAGGGAGCCCAGTGTAAGAGCACCAGTCCCTGCATTGTCTCGTCTTTCCCCCTTTAGCCACAGCCCACTCATCTGACCTCCCAAGGACCCTCTTTCAACTTCAATGATTTCATGTGCAAATCCTGCATGTAAGTGTGTTTTGCAGATTGCTAGCTGTGCATCAGTGTCAGTTCCCATAAAATCTGTTTTTTGCTGGGCACCAGGTGAACCTGTCGACACCCGTGTTCAAGTCACTGGGATACCAAGATAGCTGCGTTGAAGGGACGGTGGTCTCGACAGTGATTCTGCCTGGATCTGAATCTTGGTCCTCCTACATCTCAGTCTTGTAACCTTGGCCCAACTATGTAACCTTTCCTTTGCTCTGTAAAATGGTGATATTAATGGTCACTTCCCCTAGAGTTTTTATTAGGATTAAATGAGCCAGTACATGGGAAGTTCTCAGAATAGCCATGACATATGATATGCACATAGTATCTATTACTTACCGGATCCTCACAAGATCTGCTGTAGGTATTATAATCACCACCTCTGCTAGACCCCTCTCGTGCCCCACCTCCTACTCTGCCCATCTTTTCACACCGCAGCCACCTGCTGACCCCAGGTGTAACCCAACTGCACCTTGCTCAGCCGGACGCCTTATTTCTTACTTCCTGCCTGGTATCTTTGCCACCTCCACCTGAGATGCTTCCAGAAATGCACTCAGCCGTGCTGACCCGAGCAAACTGGAGGTGTGAGGGAGCTGATATCCCATGTGACATCCCTTGGCCAGGACGCAGTTAGAGCCAGTGGGAAAGCAGCCTTTTCTCTCATTCCTTGAGAGAGTAACTCCGAAGTGTGATCTGTCCCACTGAGGTCCGAGTTCAGGTGTCCAGCATACGAGCCCCCCTGGTTTGGTTTCCCTCCGTCCCTGTCTCTTCCCAGAACAGACTACCCTGCTCAGGTCCTTGCCTCAGACTCTGCTCTTGGGGAAGCAGCCAACTTCCACACAGGAGGAAGCAAAAGAAACAGAACGGCTGGTTCGACGTCCAGAATCAGATCTAGACTCAAGTTCAAGGCTTCCACCTCCTGAATGTCGTTCCCTCACACTGTGCCATTTCGTACATACGCATCTTAACAGAGGACTTCGGGAAGCTGGGTTAGGCTGCGTGAGGCCAGGGAGGAAAGAGCTACAAACTCCCAGCACAGCCCCTTTCCTGTCCCTGCACAGAGCTGGTTCCACATGGCCAGAAGGTGGGAGACACTGGTTCCACCTAACTGAGGCCCGGCGGGGACCATGTTGAATCTGTTTTGCGTGACCAGCACTTGCGGCTGGCATCCCGCGAGTGCTTAGTAAATAATCTGCTGGGTACACAGGTCTGACAATCAAACTGCTGACGGTTTCTTTGTAAAGATGACTTTTTACGTGGCCCTGCTTGTGCCTAGCCTTATTACTTATTTTTTTATGCTGGCTTGGAATGTACTCTCCAATGAAGAGAGAACATTTTTTGAGAGGGGATTGGATTGTTTACCTTTGTGCCAAGCTAAGATAGTATGGAATCACGTGTCTGAAAATTACTCAAGAAATAGGTGTTTCTTGAGATCCCTGGAGACAACCTGGTCATCCAGCTGATTGACAGGTGAGGGAAGGAGCAGGGGCCGTCAAATGGGTGAGCTGCCCTGCCGCTCCCCAGAGCACTCTGCCCGTCCCACCTCCACTTGGGGTCTCCCGCCCCGCCCTTGCAGGGATATGGTTTTGCAACCCCTGTACAGGGTGACACACAATGGGGTGTTTCCGTACAGAAAGCGTGGAAGGAGCCAGCTGGCACGCTTGCTGAATTTCCCGGTGGCAGCCCGTCCCTGCCCCACCCCCAGGGCCCGGTGCCAGCGTGATGCTCTGCCTGCAGGTACTATAAGATCACCGTGGTGCTCATGTGCTTCGCGGTCCCCACGACGGTGCCCTGGTGCTTCTGGGGGGAGAGTCTGTGGAACTCCTACTGCTTGGCTTCCATCCTCCGCTACACCATCTCCCTCAACGTCACTTGGCTGGTCAACAGTGCTGCCCACATGTACGGGAACCGGCCCTACGACAAGCACATAAGCCCCTGGCAGAACCTGCTCGTCACTCTGGGTACCATTGGTAAGTCGGGGGAGTGAGAGCCAATGGGAAGTACGGCAGCTCAGATTTTCTTGGCTGTCCAATGGTTTTCTGGAATCCGTGAAGAGAGGCAGTGGATTGGAGTCGGTGGGATGAACTTGGGCTTTGGTGGTAGAATCTTGGCTCTTGGACAAGTCACCTAATCTCTCTGATTTAGAGTTTCTCCTCTTTGAAATGGGAATCGTGATGTCTACTTCACAGGGGTGTTAGGAAGAGTAAGTAAGCTACTAGTGTGCATGGCTTAGGACAATGTCTGTCATACAGTAAATGATCAGTAATTAGCCGCTACTTATTTTTACTGTGGAAATGTTCCTGAAGGAGCCATCTCAGGTGACTTTCTTCAAACTGCCCTGACCATTCTAGCCTCCACTGTCCAGTTATCTGACTGACCATAAGAAAAAAGGCCTTCAATCAGAGAGATGGGAAGAAACAAAAGTGCGGCATCTCATGGTGCCACAAGATGGTTAAGAGCGAGGCCTCCGGATTCTGATGAGTTTGGTCAGGTCTTGGTTCCCCCACTTTCTCTCCGGGGACACTGTCTGTCTCCGCCACACCTTGTCTCTTCCTCTGTCAAGCAAAGATGACAGTGGCATTTACCTGCTCCTGGGGTCGTGGGAGGGTTCGATGAGTTACTGCGTAGTCTTTGCAGCAGGGCTTAGCATGAAATAAGTCTCAGTGATGTTGTTTTTATTCCTAGCTTTACAGTCTAAAGCAAGTTACCGGTCCCTTCTGTATTTTTAAAATGGGGATAACTGTGGCAGCTAGCTAGAGTGGGGGATTATAGGTCTGCACACCCGTTAAAGCCCTCGCCACCGCGGCTGGCGCACGGTAAGTAAGAAAGAAACATTGGCTGTATCTTTGTGGAGGCAGCTCGGGCTCCTTGGAAAGCTGGGCCTTGAGCGTGTTGGTGGAACCGCAGGGGAAGATCCTACTGTAAGGCAGCAACGGTCTCAGTAGCAAGGAGTTTCTGCCACCGCGTCGGTAGGCTCGCGCACTTACTAAGACCCCAGGATCTTGTGTTGACAGGAGCGATGACAGTGTCTAAATAAGCACCAGTTCAGCCCTGGGGACACTGGCTAAGCCGAGAGAAAAGTGTCTTGGAAGGAGTTTCTGATGCCCCTGCTACTTCCTCCTCTCCATCTTCCTTTTTTTTTTTTTTTTTTCTATTTATTTTGAGAGAGGGAGAGAGAAAGAGTGATCTGGGGGAGGAGCAGACTCCCTGCTGAGCGCAGAGCCCGAAATGGGGCTCAATCCCATGACCCCGAGATCGTGATCTGACCCCAGATCAAGAGCTGGACACTTACCCGATGGAGCCACACACGTGCCCTCTCCTGTCGGCTTGGAGTCAGCACTGGCCATGTCGCCCCAACTGCAGTCTTTTCAGAAGATGAAAGGAGGACAAGACAGAGTTCCATCTTGTGTAGGGACAGGGGGCCGGAAAGCCCAAGGACATGGACATGGCGCAGGCCCTCAGGAGCCGGCTGTTGGCTTTCTGTGCACCAAGGTCAACAGTGGGCTCCTGGTGGGTTTTCTTCATTCAGGTCCTAGGAAGGCTCCTGTCGCATCGGACTGTGCGGTAGATGGGAGTCCAGCCGGGTTCTCAGTGCGGTGTCTGCTTCTGAACATAGTGGGGGAAACTCCTCCACATATACTCAGGGGAAGGAAAAACACCACAAATGTTGAGGAAGGAAGGGGCAGGGTCAAGAAGACTGAATTAAAAAGAAAACGGTAAACCACAGATCTGCCCATTGGGTACACTCACTGCAGAGCAGAGCCCTTCAGCTGTGGTCAGCAGAGCTGGGGGATGGCGAGGACCTACTAAGAAGTAAGGGGGGGGCACCTGCGTGGTGCAGGCCGTTGGACGTCCGACCCTTGGTTTTGGCTCAGGTCGATCTCGGGGTCGTGAGATCCAGCCTGGTGTTCGGCTCGGAGCTCAGAAGCTTAAGTAAGACTCGCTCTCCCTCCCTGCCCGTGCACACACTCTCTCTCAAATAAATAAATAGATCTTAAAAAAAAAGGAAGTAAAGGAAGAATCTAGCAATTCCTCAAATGGTTAAAAATAGTTACCGTATGATCCAGCAACTCCACTCCCAGATTTGTGCAGAAGAGAAGTAAAAATCTACGTCTGCACAGAAACTCGCACGTGAGTAGTCATAGCAACATGACTTGTAATAGCCAAAAAGTGGAAATCATCCAGGCGTCCGTCATCCGATGAATGCGGGAAATGCAAAGGGTGCGTCCGTACAATGGAAAACTGTTTGGCAATAAGAAGAAATGAAGTACCAACACCTGCTACAACCTCGAAAACTTACACTAAGTGGAAGAAGCCAGTCCCCAAATCACATATGGTGTGACTTCATTTATATGGAATCTTCAGAATAGACAGATCTATGGGGGTTGTATTATCTCTAGAGAAACAGAATCATTATAAATATATACATATTAGGACACATATATATGTGTCCACAATACACACTACACATACACGTATACTGATATATACACATGTGTACTATTATATACATACACTACACAGTTTCCGTGTGTACTGTAATACAATATTATATGTTCCTCATAATAAATCCCCATGTAGATACAGAAACAGTAGGATATCTACACAAGTAGGTATATACATGTGTGTAGGATATAAATAGGTATCCTGCTATTTCTGTATGTGTATGTGTGTGTGTAAATGTATAGAGCGGAGGGAGGAGAAAGGTCGGGGAAGAGGGGAGACGTTTATTATGAGGAGCTCCCAGGATTATGGGAGCCGAGAAATCCCACGGTCTGCTCTCGGCAAGCTGGAGACCCAGGAAAGCCAGTGGGATCATTAAATCCGAGTCCCAAGGCCCGAGAGCCGGGGAACAGATCATGTAAATCCTAATCTGAGGGCAGGGGAAGATGAGATAAATGTTGCAGTTCAGTCACTGAGTCAGAATAAAAGGGGCAAATTCCCCGGGCCCCGCCCTCTGTTCTGTTCAGGCTCTCAACGGCGACACCGCCCCGCTGAGGAGGGTTTCTGCTTCACGGAGTCCCCGGTTCCGCGTTCTGATTCCAGACGCTCGTCTCCTCCAGAGCCACCGGCGCAGACGCGCCTCCTAGAAATGTTTGATCTGGGCAAGCCTTGGCCAGTTGGGGGGACACGTAAGGCTTGGGGGATGGTTGGGGCACGAGAGCTCAGGAATGTGGCGCTTCCCTTTATGTAATGAAAATGTTATAAAATTCATTGTGGTGATGAGTGCACAACTCGGAAAACACTAAAAGCCAGTAAATTGTACTTCAAATGGGTGAATCGTATCTCAGTAAAGCTGTATGAGAGTCAAATGAAAGAAGCCCTGAGATCCCTCCTCAAAATACTTTAATTAAGAAAAAAAAAGTAAGGAGGAAAAGCTATTTAGCAGGAGGGGTGGAAAAGCCTGTAGCGGATCTGGGACGGTAACGGTCCGCTCCTCAATTTGTTGCTGCCCTGTCCGAGCCATGCGCTTCCCGGTCTTCCGGGCTCTCCCAGCGAGCCCTTGTCTGGTCCCTCCAGCCCACGGAGGCTATTCTCCTTTCATGACCAAACATCAAAACAAGGAAATGTTGAGGCCCCTGGGGGGCTCAGTGCGTTAAAGTCTCTGCCTTCCGCTCAGGTCATGATCCCAGGGTCCTGGGATCGAGCCCCGCATCAGGCTCTCTGCTCATCGGGGAGCCTGCTTCCCTTCCTCTCTCTCTGCCTGCCTCTCTGCCTACTTGTGATCTCTGTCTGTCAAATAAATAAATAAAATCTTAAAAAAAAAATGAGGATCTGCTATCAGCCATTTAGCATTTAGTTTCTGAAGTCCTGCCCTGAAATCGTGATAACATACCTACAGTTCATACGGGGAAATGAGCCTCGTGGCTCTGTGCTGACTGCCTCGTTGTTTTCCTGCTTGTACGTCGTCGAGCCAGTGCTCTCTAAGGGCAGACAGAAAGTCGCTGCCCACAGAGCTCAGTGAAGGGTGGGGGACTCAGTCTGTGCAGAGAGGTGGGGATGGACTATTTCAATCCCACTTTGTCTTGCAGGTGAAGGCTTCCACAGTTACCACCACACCTTCCCCTTAGACTACTCCGCAAGTGAATTCGGCTTACATTTCAACTCAACCACCTGGTTCATTGACCTCATGTGCTGGCTGGGGCTGGCCCCTGACCGCAAACGGGCGACCAAGCCGATGATCGAGGCGCGGAAAGCCAGGACTGGAGATGGGAGCTTGTGATCGTGGGGCCGGCGTCTGCTATGTCTGCCATCGACACCTGAGTTCATGGCTCCTGTTACTGTAGTTCTCTTGTGCGTTGGATGTGGGTGGGGGTAGAGGGTAGGGAGGGAACAGAATCTATGGGGTTTGGGAACTTTCTCTTTGTCTCAAAATAATGTCAACTGTCAATGAAAAAAAATTTTTAACATCACTGTAACTATGATTTAACATTAGAGTGTAACACGTGATTTAGTCGCCGTAGCTACAGTACGTCAAACACACATGGTCACGTGCTTGTACGTGATGTTGACCCTGACAGGATGAAGGAGCTTAATACTGTCTCAGTGTGATTCAGGAGAGCGTTAGTTTTCTTTTCTAGCAGTGAACCCAGCGCTATTCTTTTTTTTTTTTTAAGATTTTATTCATTTATTTGACAGAGATCACAAGCAGGCAGAGAGGCAGGCAGAGAGAGGAGGAAGCAGGCTCCCCGCAGAGCAGAGAGCCCGATGCTGGGCTCGATCCCAGGACCCTGAGATCATGACCCGGGCCAAAGGCAGAGGCTTTAACCCACTGAGCCACCTGGGTACCCACCCCCCAGCGCTATTCTTAAACCCATCATCCGAAGGAGCAGAGAGGCAGGGCAGAAGACAGAAGAGTGGGTCCAATATCTAAAGAATGTCTCTGTTTTGTAATTACTGCGTGTGTGTACATGTGGTGCTGTTGCTTAAGAGAACTGAACACTTTGAAAGATGACAGCACAGGAAAGGGCTCTCGCTCTCTCTTTTTCCCCGTTTGAGCTTATTAATGCTCCACTGTCTTCGCTTCAGAAGAGATCTGCCTGGTGCCCAGCCCGCAGCATGTCCTGATCATGCCCAGCCCGTCCTACACATCAGTGCCTGTTTAGCTGTTTGCTTTTGTTCTCTTCGCTATTGTCCTTTTAAAGGTGTATAACTCAGATGTGCCAGACATAGAATTAAGTTCAAATCAAGCTCATTTCAATGTTTAGACACCTGATTCATACTCTAATCGGTCCCAGCCGCCGATGCAAGTGCTTCCGCTACTCCTGCTAAGTAAGCTTCTTAATTTTCCACACCAGGCATCAGGTCTTAATAACAACAGTTACCCAGAACTCAGCGTCTGCTAATGTTTCCCCTGCATGCGGCCCTCATTGATTTTGCAGCAAAACATAAAGCAATCATCATGTAGCTTTTGGATTAAAAAAATCTTCCGTGTGTTAAGTCGCCTTGTAAGGAGCACGTTGAATTAACGGGACAGTGTCTCCTTTGTGTCGGTTGTCAGCGCAAAAGAAGGATGTTGGAGCTCCTTGAGGATAGATCTTTTCAGGAAAGATGTAGGGACTTAAAACTTTGGAAAAAAGAAGGGGTGCCAGTAGGAGATCATCAGAATGAAGTTCTTCACCCAGCAGCTGTTGGACACTGTTGTCTTGCTATTAATAATGTACGAACTACGAGTGACGCACAATAAATGATTCTGAATTCTCTGGTGTTTTTGCCCAGGTGCTTAAATGTTGTTCAGAGGACGTCCTCTCAGGGGTCCTTGCTGTGCCATGATGACCATATGATTTCCATTTGATTCAAGCGCTGGACCACAAGACAAGGCCTCCTGTGCCCCATCAGCCCTGGGCTGGAGGGAAGGTCAGCTAGTTTTATATTTGGAATGCAGAACCCCAGTGGTGTCATCCCCACTTCTCACTCACCAGTATGGTCATTTGTGCTGCTTCCAGCTGACGAACGGGCACCTCTACTCCTGACTGTCACCCGAGAGAGCCGGAAAGACACCTTCCTTCCCCGAGCCCCAGCGGGCCCCACTAAGAGTGACCAGAGGCATGGGAGATGGGCTCAGCTCTCCCTCCAGTCCCGCCACCCAGCTTTTCCCTAGTGCTGCCCCACTCTCTGCCCTTCTTTTGCCCCAAAACACCTGTGTCCCTGCCCTCAGATACAGGCTTCTTGGCCCACCTGCCGCTGAGTGGGGTTCCAGCCGGTGCACCCACTGGGTCTGACTGGCATCTACCGGCTGCTTTGTACTGAGTAGTGGTGGGGTATAACTGTATTCCGAGTTGAGTTTGGATCAACATGACCTAAAATGATTGGGAATATTTCCATGGCTCTTTGACCCTTAAACGCACCAGTCGTATTGCTTGCCCGTCTAATAGGAAAGGCTACATTTGGAAAAACTATTTGAAGTCTTCTCACAAAAGGAGGACATTCCCCCATCTAGACCAAGTAGGTCCTGAACCTCTCTCCTCTGAGCCCAGAGCCATGTATGTAGCTGCAGCAGTGCCCACGAATGACGACTGGGGTGATTTGCTGAAGGAGTGGATGGAGGTCAGAGCACTCTAGAAGCTTCCATGTTAACATTCCCCGCAGGTCTCAGCAGCATCTAAGGCAAGAAAGTAACCCTGGGATGTATCTCCTAAGACTATCCAAAATGGCCCTAGAGAGGCTGGGACCTTTTTTTTGAAAGGATCAGTTTAGAGTAAGGGGACGTCCTGGGGACGTCCTGTCCTGAGTCTCCATGTCTTGCAAGGCTTACTTCAGAAGCACCCACCACGTGTCCCGGTGCAGGGAGCCAAGGGGAAGTGGTCCCAACAGAGCTTGTCCCTGCACGCTGTGAGCTAGCCGGGTACAGCAGAGCCACCTCAAGTACACTCCCGGCCAGCTGTGTGGCTGTGAGAAAACCAGTCTTTCTGGATCTAGTTTTCTCATCTGCAAAGAGAGAGGATAAAACTGGACTCTGGCCAAGGTCCCATCGAGCTCTAATAGCCACCCGCAGCAACAGAGACAGGGACTTGGCTGACTTCGGATTTGAAACACCTCTCAAGTTCATGCCCATCTTTTCTGGGATCTGGGAGGTCAGAATTGACGGGAAATAACTGAGTCTGAGTGGGAGAACATGGAGTGAAACTAAAAGGGATGTTTCTGGTAAAAAAAACAAAAATGCATGTTTCATTCATTCCCAAAATATAATGAAAGATAAAAATAAACATAATCTATGGAAATCAGTTTAATGAAAGGAAGGACTGCAAAAAGGTCTGGCCTAGTGGAGTAGTAGAAAAATAGCGCCAGACTCAAGGTCAAGACCTGAGTTTGAATTCTCCTCCCTTTTTTAAGTTGAGGTACAATTGACATACATTATATTAGTTTCGGGTGTAGAACATAATGATTTGGTATTTGCATGTATTGCAAAAAAAGGCACCTGGCTGGCTCAGTCCGTCTATAACGCAAAATGATTGCCACAATAAGCAGTCTTGTTAACATTGTGGCAGTGAACTTTTTTTTCTTATGATGAGAGCTTTTAACTTACACTCTTAGCGACTTTCAAATATGAAAACAAGTATTATTAACTATAGTCACCATGCTGTGCACTAAATCCCCGTGTTACTTATTTTACAACTGGAAATCTGTATCTTTTGACCAGCCTCACCATTTTGCCCACCCCCACAGCCCACCAATCTGTTCTCTGTACATATCAGTTCATTATTTTTTTTTTTTACGATTGTACATATAAGAGAGATCCTACGGTATTTGTCTTTCTGTCTCTGACTTACTTAGCATAATACTTTCTAGGTCCATCCATGTTGTCACAAATGGCAAGATTTTGAATTCAGACTCGTGACTAACTTGCTGTGTTGCCTAGCACATGTTTTCAGGCTGAACCACATGAAAGTGCCATTTATTAAACTACTGATGCTCTCTGCACCTCCATATCCTCCCCCACAAAGCAGGAACAGTCACTCTTATGTGCTCAGGTAAATCTGGAGGCCTCAAGAACAGGCCTGGCGAATCGTAGATTCCCCGCGAGACGTCAGTGAGGGTGAGTAGTGCGTCCCAGACACAAGACAGTAACTGAGATGTCAAATAACCACAGACCGGAAGTGAAGAGGACCAACTTCTAGTTCTGCTTTTGTGAGTAACTAGCTGGGTAGTGAGAATATGCCCCAAATGCCAGTTTGACATAAGATTATTTCCAGTTAAAGGCACTTGAGGGTCACCTGGCCGGCTCAGTTGGTAAAGCAAGCGACTCTTGATCTCAAGGTTGTGAGTTCGAATTCCATGTTGGATGCAGAGATTTAAGAGAGAAGGAGAGGGAGGGAAAGAGGGGTGGAGGGAGGAAAGAAAGAGAGAGAGGGAAAGGAAGGAAGGAAAAGAAAGGAAGGGAGGGAGGGAGGAAGACACTTGGAACCACAGATGCAAGGAGGACCCTCTGACCTCCCTTTCTCTTCCTAAAAGCGGGAGATGAAACTCGCATGTGAGAGCTACCCTCTCTGTAGGGGCGGGGGGGGGGGGGGGGATGAAACCGTCTTATCACCAGAGACAGGGAGAAGGCACCAAGACAATCAGTGCTAACGAGGGTTTGCAAGTAACCCTTATCTCCCTTCAGCTTCTCCATACGTCTTCGGTACTTTTTCACAATTAGTGCTTTGTCCAATCCGGTATATGAACGCTTGGGCCCAGCCGCTTTGGGGGGCTTCCATTTTCCCATGACAGCTCCCATGAGCATGCAGTAACACTGCCTATGCCCCGCTAATCTGTCTTTTGTCCACAGAATTCTCAGGCTCAGCCCAACCCTGGAGGTCGGAGGGAACGGGCTGCCTCCCTTCCCATGGTTCTATGTCCTGGAGCCTGGGCAAGCCCTTCATAAAGGAGGGTGACTGGATCGGACTGTCCTGCCCAGGTAGGAGTCGCTGGCCCGGTGTGGAAAAGCCCCGTGCACTGGCAGAGCCTTTGCCCAGCCCCCTGGGCCTCCCTCTGAACCGTGGCCTCCACCAGAGGACAAGCCCCACTTGCAGAGTCACCTCTGCTTCCCGCAGCTCATTTTTCTCCTCCTCGGGATGGGAGAGGACGAGGCGGGAGCTAATGGATGAGAATGAGATTCGGGGAGCATCTGTGACCTTCGTTTATCCCTTTCCCTCTGTCCTCAATTACAGAAGACCCTGGAAGCCCGTTGAGTTCCCAGGGGCTGCTCCTGTGAAGAAGGAAGAAGTCGCCTGACCTTATGACCCTTCCCACACCCCACCCGTCTGCAGTTCCGGGTATTCACGAAAATCCTTTCCTTCCCTTTCCTCCGCAGCAAGGAAGTGAGTAAATGACCTGGAAATTCCTCTCCTGTTCTCCCCACGGTGGTAGAGCTCAAAGCTGCCGCCCCCCCCCCCCCCCCCCCCCCCCCCCGGGAATGTTCGCACCATCTGGACTTGCAAGTCGGAAGCAACAGGGAGGGAACTGTAGCCTCTGCCCCCCTCCCCCACGCCAGCCTGTGTTCCAGCAGCTCCAGGGCTCTGCGACAGCCTCGTCGTGGACTTCTGTCCTCCCCAGACCCCGCTGCCCAGGGGAGAGCTGTCCGCAGCTGCCTCGACTTACTACAGG